ACACACACACATCAAAGGTATTTCAGTGAAATAACATTGTAATTTTTGATACAGACTTCATATTTAGTTCCTATATTTCAAGTGATATATGACATAATGCCGTGTGCACCTTCAGGTTCATTTTCAGAACGATGCTTTGGAACATGTGGGAATACAAGCATAGCACCTGTATGAACATTTAAACACTTGTTATTATTTTTTTTTCTGGGATCTTAAAGTTGCTACACAATGTCTCAAAAAAGACACAGCTGCTTCACAGATTGGCAAACTGTTGTTACACTTACATCCTGGTGTGCTCAGAAACAGCCTATTGGAATCATAATTGAAGACCTGCACAGCTGAATGACTACTAATAGAGTTTTAGAAGGATGGCAGGCAGTCGTCCTATGGTAGCCCAGGCTGCATTTATTCAGAGTAGTCTCATCAGCCTGATGGTTACAATGCAGTGGTGGGATTCAAATTGTTTTACCACCAGTTTGGTGGGCATGCTTTGCCTAATGCCAGCACGCAGCTTACCCCACACCAGCTGAGACCTGCAGCACCAATCAGCTGAGAGGATAAAAAAGAAAAAAGTGCAGCACCAGATGGGAAGGCCAATCCTGCACTTCTTTCTTCTCTCAACTGATTGTCGGAGGCTTTGTTCCTCGCCTCAGCTGATCATCGGAGCCTTTTTTTTAAACTACAGGTTTAGGTGAACTGGTCCAAACCAGTAGCATGCCACCACTGTTACAACATTAAGATGTTCTAGAAAAGACTTACTCCAGAACCACTTTAATTTAGCCAGCGCAGCTACCCTAAAGAAACGGGGCTGAAATATCACAGCCTAACGTAGTAGAAGAGAGAAAAATGAAAAAGAGGAGGGAAAGAGGAAAGATAATGACTTGTTACTAATACTCCAGGTTTCTTTTAAAAAAAGTTACATCCAAGTTAGTTCCACAATATCACAGCCGCTCCTTGCAAAGGGAGTCCTATGAAGAAACAGTGACAAAGCAATGTCTGAAGTCTTTATATAGACGTGCCTCGGTCTGGATCGTTACTGATGTTTAGCCCTAAAGTTGGAGTGGGTTGATATGGAATCGAAGACATTGTTTTGATAGGACTTCTGAAAAAGCCCCCATTTGGAGCCCTGTGCCTAAAAGGGCCAGTCCGGTGTTCAGGCACATTGCCGAAAGAGAATCCAGAAGCAGCTTTAGCTGAAAGTGTGCGACGAAGAGTCTGGATCTGCTCTGGTATGAAAGTTGTGGTAGTGATGTGAGTGTTCCTGAAGTCACTGATTTGCTCCAGGGCTTGACGCGTGGGCAAAGTGTCAATGTCCAGTGGAGTCAAGTCAATGGATGAAGTGGAAAACTGTTTATGGGGACTTTCATCGTCTGTGCAGAGGCTGTTCACGCGTCTGTGGAGATGCTCTAGATCTATTTCTTTGTCATCCTGGAAGGAGCAAAGCAAAAGGGAGAAAATGAATAAGATACCCTTTGAGGCCTTCATTTTCCAAACTAAAAACAAAATGTCTTTCATGACGAAGGGGGAAAGAAGTTGAGCAAGAATAAGGCAATAGCAGTAGCAGTTAGACTGCTTTATAGAGCTTTACACCCCTCTCTAAGTGGTTTTACAGAGTCAGCCTATTGCCTCCAACAATCTGGGTCTTCATTTTACCCACCTTGGAAGGATGAAAGCCTGAGTCAACCTTGAGCCTGGTGAGACTTGAACTGCCGAACTGCAATCAGCTGGCAGTCAGCAGAAGTAGCCTGCAGTACTGCATTCTAACCACTGCGCCACCACATTCAAAAATGAATCAGAATGTAATCCAGACTACTGGCAGGACGTTGACCAGACCGACTATCTAGAGCAGGGGTCCCCAAACTTGGCAACAGAATTCTGGGAGTTGAAGTTCACAAGTCTTAAAGTTGCCAAGTTTTGAGACCTCTGATCTAGAGCAATCTTTCTGGCTTTGCAAGAAGGGAGCAAGGAGAGAGGGAATAGTTACAATGGGTGACTTACAACCATTTATTTAGTAGCTGTTTGAAGTTACAACAGAAAAAAGGTCACTTATGACCTTTAAGGCCTTTGCAGCATCCCTGTTGTCACATGACCAAAATTTGGACACTTAGCAATTGTCATGTATTTATGTATCTTGGAGTCAAGTGATCCCCTTTTGTGACTTTCTGACAAGCAAAGTCAATGGAGAAGCCAGGTCCTCTTAACAACCATGTTACTAACTTAACAGCTGCAGTGAGTTGGGTGGCCATATACATTTTCTTATAAAAAGAAAATAAACATAATATTTCAAAGTAAAAGTGGATTATAGAACCCTTCATGAAGAACAGCTGATAAGCTAAAGTCACTTATTTTTCAGAAAGTATTATGGATTGCATGTGTGGATTTTAAGGGCTACACATAAATTTCATATATTGATCGGAAAAAAAGTGCCAATTCTTTGACTGCTAATTTTGAGTGCTTTATTTTGAAGGCAATTCAGACTTGGCTGATATGTGCATTTGAAATTAATGGCGTTTATAATAATGCTATATGAAAACTGGAAGCTCTCTTGCTGAATGAAAACACATTTTTTAGCCCTAAATAGTATTTTTATTATATGAATAATGCATTTTGAAATTAAGGTTCACTCCTGTTGTAACTGTAACATGTTATTTTTTTTCAGACAATATATCTATATATAATGTTAAATATAGAATTTTTGAAACATTCTATTTATTTATTTACACCCAACTTGCTTACAGCTTACAATATTATTATACAATATATATACTGGAGGAGAAAGATCTAATATTGAGTGTTCTGGTAAAAAACTTTAGCCATTTCTGCCATCTATTTGAAGAAATGTCTTAATACTGCCTTAGTTTTTAAATTCATCAAACTCTGTACATGGCTTGCTTACTCCTTGTTTTCAAAGTCTCCTTGTCAAAATTCAGTATAAATGAGTATATTAACCTAAGCTATGCCAACTAACGGGGAAAAATAAATAAATTATATTGCATTGCATGTGATTTATACGTTGTAATTACATGTGTATGTTTATGTGTGTGTATATTTGTCCGTATACACACCCACCCACCCCACATGCAGAAAATACCCTTTTTCTCTCACTATCTATTATTTTCATGGATTGCATTGCCATTTCCATTTTTTACCATGTCCTCAAACAACTTTAAGGAAACTAGAGAATTCTATAGGAATTAATATGTATTAATTAAGCTTTATTTGATACAGTGGATGTATGAAATAAAGTCTAATGGGGCAGCCAAGTATATTAACTGCTAATTTACACTGCATATATGCACACTTGTGTTATATCACTTTTTTCACTGCCTAAAAGCCACTTGGCAGATATGGATAGAGATATGGCTACAATATCTATCTTGTTTGAGACAGTTCTTGCTTTACAATCATAACTGAGCCTGGAATTACAGACATATTGTTGCAATCATAAATCAAGACCAGATCCTATTTTCCACCATTTTTTGGTGGTGGTCATTCAGTGAATGCCACGGCCATTAAGCAAATCATTGTTCCCCAATGAGCATTTTTTTGCCAGAAACAGGAAGTAAACATTGGAAACTGGCAAAAAATGTCGCAAATCAGAGGACACCACCAAATGGCCATAAGGTGAGCTAGTTGCTAAATGCCCAAAGTGCAATCACTGTGACTCTGGGGAGTGCTAACATCATAACTTCAAAAACAGATCATAAGTAGCTTTGGGGGGAATGAGTTCCTCGTAACTTCAAACGGTTGTAAAGCAATTGTTCATAAGTTGAGGACTACTATATTTAAAGATCATTTGAGGTTTGAGATCTGCTCCTTTGGCCCAAGTATTTAAGCACACATTTTGCTATTACACAGAGGGATTTACCAACTAGGTTTCTGGATATCTATCAATAGCAAAGCAATTCATCCACAATGATCGGAATGCATTCAAAGATAATATGAACTTCTACTCTTATGATAAATGTAATATGTGAACTGTTTTGGTGATTAAAACACTATCATTGGGTTCAGTTAGAACAGGGGTCCCCAAACTTGGCAACTTTAAGGGAGTTGAACTCCCAGGGAATTGAAGTCCACAAGTCTTAAAGTTGCCAAGTTTGGAGACCTCTGAGTTAGAGTAAGACCAACTCTTAATTTTATCTTTGCAGTAACATCTATTTTACCTTAAATAACCATCCTCCATGACATCCCTATGTGGTCTTTTAAGATTAATTCTACTGATGAACATAATCCCATTGTTTATAAGAAAATGAATGGGTGGCTTTTAAAAATGGCAATTGCCAAATACCACTCCTTGACCCACTTAAGACATCAAAAGGAGAGAGCACTCACAGGATGGCTTGTGCATAGCTCCACAAAATGATTGCTCCTCTTCTTTCAAATGTGCCTTGGTCAACAGTGAAATATTCAGCCATTACGGACATTTAAATTATCACCTGGGCTTCAGAGTTTACATTTCTTTGAGATTAACGGGACAGGTCTCACTTCTGTCAGAGCTATTGTTATGACACGAGCAGACATGACTGCATGGGATACTTTGGTTCACAACTTCACTGCTAGTTTTATAACCTTAAGGCATTTATTTGTTTCCTTAGAATGAAAAGGGTGCAACTGTGAAGTCCAGTGGGCTTGGGATAAATTGATGCAATGTAAAGTACATGGGGACACTTGGTTGCAAGCCAAACAAATTATGATAGGATGTTCCAAGATACTACTTCATGAGATTTCACCCACATTTTAAATTGCCAGTATTTGCAGTAGCTAAATGGTTCCCGCACTCCTCTCACCCCACCTATTTCTTAAGGCTGTAAATCACAAGGATAACATTTGTATAAGTTTCTTCTAAACAGTAATCTCATAAATTGATCCCTTGGCTTTCTGATACAGTCACGTTTTCCTTTTGTCAGAACTCTGATTTAGAAGTGCAGACTCTGATTTAGAAGTGCATTACTCTGATGAATTGCAAGCCTGCCGAAAGAGAATGATTTAAACAAAATCCAGAGATATCCCTCTATAAGTAGGCCAGAAAAGGAATTTAAAAATAAACAATCCAGGGCTGTGAAAATTAAGCCATAATTTATATTTGACATTTTGAGGGTGATGAATTTTATAAATATGTCCCATTCTCTTGAAGGGAAGAGATGGCTGGAACTTTGCAAACCCAGTGAAAATTTACTTTGATTCAAGGACGTGTGAGCTCAACCTAAGTAGAGAAAAGGGATAATCTTGCAAACTTTGTCCTGACTTTCTAACCATATATCCTGCTCAGAAGTCTGCTGTAGATTTAATTCTAAGGTCTGAAGGGGGAGCTCCTGCCATTAAGCATGCTATGTATAGCTATATATAGGTCCTCGACTTACGACCACAATTGAGCCCAAAATTTCCATTGTTAAACATTTGTTAAGTGAATTTTGCCCCATTTTACGAATTTCCTTGCCATAGTTGTTAAGTGAATCACTGCCGTTGATAACTTAGTAACCCGGTTGTTAAATGAATCTGGCTTGCCCATTGACTTCGCTTATCAAAAGGTTGCAAAACGTGACCCTGGGACACACTGCAATGGTCATAAGTATGAACCAGTTGCCTGAATTTTGATCCCTTGATCCTAGTGGATGCTACAAAGGTCATAACTGTGAAAAAAGGTCATAAGTCATTGTTTTCAGTGCCATTGTAACTTTGAATGGCCCCTCAGTGAATAAGTCAAGGACGTATATGAGCTGTGGTAGTGCAGTGGTTAGAATGCAGTATTTCAGGTTAATTCTGCTGACTGCCACTGCCAACAATTCGGCAGTTTGATTCTCACCAGGCTCAAGGTTGACTCAGCCTTCTATCCTTCCGAGGTTGGTAAAATGAGGACCCAGATTGCTGGGGACAACAAGCTGACTCTGTAAACCATTTAGAGAGGGCTGTAAAGCACTATGAAGCGGTATATAAATTGAGTGCTATTGCTATATTTTTGCAACAACCTTTTGGTTTTTACAGTGAAATATATGGGATGTCTTTGAAAGAGCTTGACATCGGGAGACTCTGGTTGTATGGTCTACACACAGTCATTTAGCTTCTTTTAGCAGGCTAAGCAGGGCTTAGTAGATCTGGATTTGCCACCTAAGGTAGGTTCAACAGAGAGCTATAGTAACCTTTCAGAAATAATCTGTCTGCTAACCATAGTCAATACCTTGTCTATGTTATGCACAGCTGAGATCTACACACAGACATTTAACATGTGAAGTATCTCTTACTTCACATTAAGAAAATGAAGTCAAGTAAGAGAGGGCACCTGTGTTGATTAAGCTCACACTGACTTGCTGCTTGAAGTGCTGGTAAGGAGTTACAGAATGAGGCACATGGATTAAACTTGTGGGAAACAGAACCTACTGGTTTTACAGAACTGTAAGAAGACATGTTAGCCTGTGAAGAAACCACATTGTATTTATTTCTAATCTCATGAGCTAGGCTGAAGCCTGACAATTGTATGTAGGAAGGCCTCTGCTAGGCTAGAAACCAGTCTCAAGCAGAATTTGCTCATATGATAGTTACTTTAGAGCACAGGTGTCAAACTCAAGGCCCAGGGGATGGATCTGGCCCATGGGTCCACCCTGGAATCAGTGAAGGACTGGTCCACAGTACCTCTGCCAGTGAAAACGGAGCTTGGAAGGGCTGGTGTGTCCCTCCTGAGGTCTGTTTTCTCTGGCAGAGTTTTGCAGGGTTGCAAGAGGCCATCACAGCCGAAAATGGAGCTTGGGAGCCTGTTTTTGCTGTGGCAGAGCACTCGGGCCACCACAGGCGCCAACATGAGTGATGTCAAACTAGCCACACTCACCCTGGCCACACCTGACCCCCCACAGGTGCAGCCCTCAATGAAGTTGAGATTGACACCCCTGCTTTAGAGACAGCCCCTAGGAATTAGGACCATAAAAGGTAATTTGTAAATAAGGGAAGAGGGTGATAGAATTAGAGTAACGGGAGATGTAATTGGGGTGGAGATAATGTATTCACTTTAGATGCTTGGGATAAGTTGTGACAGCATAAGTACTAAGCCAATGAGGAAAAGGTGGGAGATAAATTTGTAACGGCAACAGGGGATATAAGAGGAACATATTGATGATTTAGGGGTGTGTTCACTGTATCTGTGTGTGGGTGGGGCACCCACTTTGCAAAATAGTAAATAAAATTACCATTGTTTTCTCTTGGACGCTTTGGCTGGTGATTGTTTATTTTAAAACCAGACAATGAAGCCCACAAACTCAAGCAATTGCCTAGCTATTCCTCTATAGTACAGGTAGTCCTTGACTTACCACAGTTCATTTAGTGACCATTCAAAGTTACAACTTCACAGAAAAAAGTGAGTTAAGACCATTTTTCACACCTACAAACCACTTCAGCCTCCCCAATGCTCACGTGATCAAAATTCAGATGCTTGGCAAGTGACTCCTATTTATGATGGTTGCCTTGTCCCGGGGTCACGAGATCCCCTTTTGCAAATTTCTGACAAGCAAAGTCAACAGGGAAACCAGTTTCACTTAACAACCGCATGACTAATTGACCAACTGCGGGGATTCACTTAACAACTGTGGCAAGAAAAGTAATAAAATGGGGCAAAGCCTACTTAACAAATGTTTCACTTAGCAACAGAAATTTTGGGCTCAGTTGTGGTCGTAAGTTGAGGTCTACCTGTAGATGCTTTAAGTGAGCCTTTTTAAAACCAATTTTCCTTCTTTATTAAAACCTTATTTGGAAACAGGAGAAATTTAAACTTGTTTGCAGGAAGGGCATTGGAGATCTGCTGTCCCAAGAGGAGGATGTTTGTTTAAGCACATTATCCTTTGCTCAAAACTGATAAATTTTCTTAAATGTGCATCTGGCTAAAAGATTGCATAGTCATCAACACCCCAAATGAGCTTTTCTTCAAGAGACAACTGGACTTTGTATGAAGAAAGCTGCCTCTTGAAAAAAGCACCTTTGGGACAAACATGACCTGGATGGCTGAGTATCTCCACAGACGTATAGTCATCAACACTTGCAAAAAAATTAGAAATCTAGTCATTAAAGCTAAAGAAAATTGTGTTCCCACCAATCTGAACATGACTTTACCTGAGTAGTTCTGAAAAATGTTTAGCACTCTGAAAAAATTTCACAGAACAATTTAAGGCATAATTTTGCATTCAAACATCACAGAAACGATGGATAGAAGCACCAACTGATTGAAGTAATTCTAATAATTCTCTGCCATTTGATCAGTTAGCCAGATCATTAAATTTAACTTTTGGGTGATCAGTTGCAGGTCATCAAAAAAGGAAAGAGCACAAAACCTCTGAATGCAGCTGATTTTTAAGGAAGTGTATATAACAACGTACAGTTTAATAAACCATCGGTTGCAGGCCTTCTTTTTTTGTTCACATCTTATGAAACAGGGAAGCAAAATCTTACCAGAAGTCAAAACTGATTAACATTTGATCCTGCTTTAATCACCTAAAGATAAAATTCAGTTAAGCCAATAAAGGATGTAGTCTTAGATGTAAGCCCTGTGGAATTAGCAGGATTTCCTTTTGAATGTAGGATCAGGCTGCATCGTATGTTGGTAGAAGATAGATCTTATCCAGATTAGTAATAAAATACTTAATTGCTAATACTTTATAAATAATATGAAAGCCAATTATTATTCACTAAATGCTCGTGAACAAGATATGCGCTAGTAAATCCCAAGGAAATTAATTAGGACAAGTATTCATAAGTACGACATTATATTATTTCTTCCTTGATGTTTTTTTTTCAGACAAATGATTCAAAATTGGTGATTAAAATGCCATTAAAACATATCAGAAGATGCATTTTCCTTCTCACCTCTAGTGCTATGATGAAATGGAAGGGTCTCATACCTCTTTTGAAGGAACCTGTGAGCTTTTTCTTTTATTCCACCATGTTTCCAACATGGCAATTAAGCAGGAGAGAACAATCCCAGCTGCCAGTATGCAAAAAACACCTGCAAAACTTTTTATGTCCAAGGCTCCTCCTTTATATTTGGGGTCCACAGAAGAATGCAGATCACACTGGGAATTCTTTGACCACCACTTATGCTTCAGTAGATCCATGTGTCCGTTCTGCTGAAGTTCTAGAATCCTTGGAGAGAAATCACAGAGTCATGAATGTCTTCAAGAGCCATAGAACATTTATACAGCTATATGGTCCCGGAAACCAAAAGATCTCATCCACATGAAAACATTCCTGATGCCGACAACCATGTTGCATCAGCTATAATCCAGGCCCCTTGAGTATAGTCATACTGACATCATTAGATGACTGCATCAGTGATAACTATCATGATGAGCATTATAAATCCCCAGACATGTGTCCAAACTGTATTTAGTGCCAACGTTTCATTGAAGTTGCTGATGCTTAAATAGACTTAGCATTGATACTATGGGTTGTATCCAGGTTCAGTCAAGCACCTTGAAATGAATGGGGTTTAATTTACAATGTCAGCATATTGCTCCCAACAATCTGGGCCCTCATTTTACCAACCTTGAAAGCTGAGTCAACCTGAGCTGGTCAGGATCGAACTCCTGGCTGTGGGCAGAGTTAGCCTGCAATACTGCATTCTAATCACTGCACCATCATGCCTCATGTGTGACTGTACCCCATATAGTTATGAGGATATAAATCATTTCAATACTCACACACAGAGGGAGAAAGCAGCTCAAAAAGTTTTAGAAGTGAGATCGGAAGTCACTGTATCACTCGTTTCAAAGCCCATCCCAGTTTGATTGCATGGTGATATATGTTTTGTCAACTACCTAATGGATACAGCTGATCTGATCTTATAGTTTGCTTTACTTTACATGGCCAGTGAGAAGGAGGGCTTGCTTGCTCTAACTCAATGTTTCTCAACTTTGTCAATTTTAAGATATGTAGGTTTCAACTCCCAGAATTCTGGGAGTAGAAGTTCATACATCTTAAAATTATCAGGGTTGATAAATACTTCTCTAATAACTATGCAATATTCTAGGGTACAAGATAAATGCATTTCCTCCAGTCATGTCATGTGCTCTCACTTGCATCGGAACATCAGAATACAGACAGTTGCTGTTGCAATAAGTCCAAACAAAGGCATGCTTTGTACTCTATTGATTTTAAGCACCTGCTTAAAATGTGTCTTATTTAAATCAATTGAACTGCAATGCACTCTAAAGTACATCTGTTTAAAGTCTTCGCTTTAGTCAACACTCACTTGTTCTGAATGGTAAGCAAATATTATCTCACACTTATATGTACTTATAAGCTTCATACTCCACACAGTTTAAATACTTTAACAATAATACATTTAAATAGCAAATGAAAACAGGTCCTAGATGATAAAAAGAAGACTAAAGATTAAATTATGATGCAGTAAACTTAGGATATAGTAACCACAATAACATAAATAAGACAGGGTTAAAAGCAACCTGGTCTGTGTCAAGCCTGAATTTAGTTTGGTGGTCGATTCATGATCCATGTGCAAAGTTTTAGCAGCTTTCAGAATGTCAAAAAACAGCAGAAGGTCAACAGCACAGCAATTATTCAGATTTTGGAAGCAATTTTTTTTTTTGAAAAGGATAAGTGGATTTTTCAGCCTCCTAATCTCCCTGAGAGAAAGAAGCCGAAGCATTTCCCAACCTCCACCCTGGGATGATAGTTTATTAAATTTATTTGCCACTAAATTCCCAGGGACTCTGGAAAGGATGCTCTAATCAGACAGGTGGTATGGTAACTTATGTCTTAGTCATTAAAAGGCTATATAGATTAAAACTAGCTCCCTGGATTGCATACAAAAAAAAATCTATTGGCAATCAATGCACCTTTCACAGTGTGCCTCTAATGAAGCTGAAACGACTCTAGCTTGCCAGCATATGGGCTGCTGAATTTTGTAGCAACTGCAATTTTTAGATGGTCTTTAAGGGCAGCCCCACATAGAGCTTCTTGTCAGTGTCAATGTCAAAATAATGAGGACATGTAGAGAGCCACAGAGATGATGTTGGGACAGCTAAGCGGAAGCAGATGGTTACATAAACAAAAGCATTTGTTAAGCCGGGCAACAAGCTACAAGTGTGAGAAAGAAGCTCTGAATGACTCCTGTCTAATTCTCTGTAGTGTAAGAGGGAATGAGGGGAAAATTCAGGCTTTCAAAGTTATTTTTGCCTTCCTCAATAAAATACGCTTTTGGACAGATTTGTGGATTTGTGGAGTCAGCTTCCTGACCTGACTTATCTCACGAGACTGACAGGATGCGAATGATAGTTGCCCAAACTCTAAGAAAGGTTTGTAGACTGCGGTGAACCTGGGCAAAAGCTCTTCACATCACTGTTTTCATTTGCAAGTGGTATAGAAGCCATGCCCACCCAAGAAATTTCATAACAATAGCATTTAGGTTTATATACTTCCCTTCCCATAGTATTTTACAGCACTCTCTGGATGGTTTAAATTGTCAGCATTATTTGCATATTGCCCCTAAACAATCTGGGTCCTCATTTTACTGATTTCAGGAGGATAGAAGGCTGAGTCAACCTTGAGTCCCATCAGCATCGAACTCCTGCTGTGGGCAGAGTCAGCCTGCAATACTGGACTTAACCACTGCACCACCATATAGTAGAACAGGAGTCTTCAAACTTGGCAAGTTTAAGACTTGTGGACTTCAACTCCTAGAATTCCTCCTCGTGTTAGCTCAGGAATTCTGGGAGTTGAAGTCCACAGGTCTTAAATTGCCAAGTTTGAAGACCCTTGCAGTAGAACTTCTTCAAGTGCCAACCCCACCAAGAATCAAAACAGGAGTGCCATGACAAAATAGAGGGTTTCTGAATGAACTATCATTTTCTCATGCTTTGTTCCCATTCAATCTAGGCCTGGGCTGTCAAACTTGTGGCCCACAGGCGAGATGGGTCATGTGCTGACCACGCTCAGTTTAGTGAAGGAGGAAAAAAGTCACAATATGTCACTTGATGACACCATGACGATGTGAGTTTGACACCCCTGCTTTATAGCCTCTGATCAAGGCTATATCGGGACACCTCCTGTATCTCCTGCCTGGTAGAGACCGGGTATCTAGCTGGATATGATCTGAATATTGATGATACTTCACTCCAAATCATGAATGGTCCAGTCCAGTGGCTTCATATAATTGTTAAGTAACATTGGAGAGGAGTGGCAAAGGACTCAACCAGGAGTAGAGTTCCACCGGTATAACAACCAGTTCGGTGATTGCGCGCGCACGGTCCGCATTTTTAAAAAGCCCATTCTGTAGCCTCTGTGACTCAAACAGCTGAGAAGTGGCAAACCACTCTGTTGTGTGAATCAGCTGTGCTCTAAACGAAGGAAATAAAGCACAGGAAAGAGCAGGGGTGTGCGGGTGACCCACATGCTCGTTGCAGCAAGCCGGTTTGGAGCCATCTGATCATCAGAACAAGGGGTTCGCCCAAACCAGTCTGATGCGGTAGAATCCCACTCCTGCCATCTCTTATTGAGCGGAACTGCCCTCAGAGTAGGAACAGAGCCAGCATTTTACAATGCCTGCAAGTCCCAAGCGCTCCATAAGAATCTCATCGCTCAAGAGCTTCTGGGTAATCTAACAGGACTAAAAATGCTGCGCTCCCTCCATCCAGTCCTAGCTCATTGATGGGTTACTAGTGCAGATTCTACTGTGTAACTACTGTAGGTCTGAAATCTGAATACAACGAACCAAGACAACTCATTTCCTTTATAATTGAAGTTCAGCCACCTTTTCCAAGGTCTGACATTTCATCTCCTTGATGAATTTCTTGGTAAATCAGAACAAAACACCACGACACACAAACACGTTAAATGATCAGAAAAGGCAATTTTTGCTTAATCCTTTTGTTCAGCACTTTTGTTCAACACTGTTGTGTCTGTATTTCAGAAGTCAAGGGTGATGGCAGCGCTGCCTATCACCTTAATGACACGACCCATGCCCTGTACTGTTTATTTAATTTATCCAGCAATGGAAAAAATAATCTCTTCTAATTCCTCACTAAAGATTCCTCACTAAAGAGGGCTTGATTTATTTCTGGTATTCTTGATGTTCAGATCTCAATTGATCTTTATAACACTTTTGAGACTGAAATTTCTCCCTAACTGTATCACACCAATTGGAATATTACAGGTTGGAAAGATTCCTTCCTGGCAATCAGAAATTTTGACTAGTGAGAGATACAGATTTTGTAACGAGGCAGTGGAAGCAGAGATGTGAAAAAAGAAATGATTAAATCCTTCAGTTAGGGAAATTATATATCAAGGCAAATTACTGTAGCATCAAAGTGACTAGTTTGTCTAATGAGGCCAAAAGTCAGATCACATTTGACCTTTGCAAAATTGTGGATGTTCTGGCAATTTAATTCTGGTGTTTAGTCAAAGGAACTAATTTGTATGCTGAGGTTTTTGAACGAAGTGAGAGTTTCCACCTGGTCTAGTTGGTGAACAAACTCCATTAATGTTCAAAGTGATTTGCATGGGAAGATAATTAAAAAAAACTTTGGAGGATAATATTCGCCCTGAAAGACCCCCCCCTTTTTAAAAAGGGACCTCAGCATTAATTTGGCAGTAAATTTGCTTTTTGTAGTGTGTGAATTTCCCACAAGGTGGCACCCTGTCCACAAAAACAGACAAGCGCTCATACATACTCCAGTGTTCAGGAAGAATAAATAAATGTTTTCCTGTCAGGAAGAAAGCATATAATACTATGATAATTAGAATATACAGATACTCAGTTTTCAGAAGCATCACTTTAACAGGGCTTTTTCAAACTGTGGAGCACATCTCCACTCTGGCATATTGGGATTATGCCCTCAAACATTCAAAATACTTGCTTTGATTCACAAGAGTTGGAGGGTTTAAAGGGTTTAAAGAAGGCTGAATACCAAGAACAGAAATCGCATAGATGAACCCGGTGGAACAAAAGAAAGTGAAGATAGAAGAAAAAAGGATAGAATTTTAGCCAGGAAGTATTCTCCTGCAAAAGTTGAGATGCTTAAATTGAGAAATAAGGTTAAACTAAGACTTTCTAAGGACTGGTGGTTTATGGTAGCCAGCGGTTGTATTGAATTCCATTGCCTGGGTGCTAACTCAGCAGACTG